AACACGTTCATTTGCGTACTGGGTTTTATGTGTCATGATTAACTGCAGAATTAAATGTGCGTCTTGTGTCTTGATTCTTAGCTCAATTCAATAAACTTGTTAGAAAAAACGTTCATTTGCGTAATGAGTTGTTACTCTAGTAAACGCCCGTGCCCTCGTCATGCCTCACTGAAGTCCTATGTGTTGTCTAATTAAGCACTAACTATCTCCTATTTAATCCTAACTATTTCACGGGTATATTATTTGCACTCTATCTCACGGATATATTGTTTGCATTCTATTAAATCTCATATTAGTGACAGAAGTCGTACCACAGTGAAACGTTTAGGGTTGGAAACATGAAAGAAATTCTGCACACAGCTAAACGTTGCACTTCACTCGAAGAAATTGGACAGCTTAAAATGTTGTGCGCTGATTTAACCATACGCTTATGAGGTACTCACCTCCATACAAACTTTGTTCCACTTGACAAAATAATCATAAGCCTTCTGAAAGTCTCTATTATCCTCGTACAGGATTCCAATGTTCAAATACAAACGAAGAACCAACATGTGTTTGGTACCATAGGCTTTGGTGCACAAGTCGAAAGCCTGTCTTAACATCTGAAATGATGAAAAGGAAGTGTTACACATTTACTATGCCTTTGTAAGATTTCAAGACCAAAGGTATTGTTTGGTGGTCACAAATTAGAAAAGGTGCAGTGCAATCAAGCTTTGCCCAGAGGAAAACTAGTAAGAAAAGGCGCTGCGTACTAGGCCAGAAAAAGCGGTGCGCAACCAAGTGTTGCTTTACAGAACATCGGTCAGAAAAGGCGGTGCGCAACCAAGTCTTGCCCTGCACAAACATCAGCTAGAATAAATATACGAAGATGAAACCAGTTAGGTAGACTTGCCTGCTCTTTTTCTTTAAAGTACTTGGAGTGTCTTGGGTTTATAAAGGACTTGGTCATAATAGCCTCGGCCAAATGACCGTAGTCTCCTTGCTGTTGAAAAGGAAGGAAATAAACAAGCTTAATTTTAAAAGGGAAATAATAATAATTGCATAAGTTAAGCCAAGAGACCAGACCTTTTCTGAGATGGCGAACATGGTGCATTGTGGTCTAGCTTGGGTACAAACATCTTTTGTTCCTCATGCCGTAGATGGTGTCGTTTGTACTCAAGCTAGACCACAAAGCATCGTATTTATTGACTGACTCAGAGGAGGCCTATGGTCTCTTGGTAAAGTATAGACGGATCTTTATCAGTCTTGTTTTAGCGACGCTGACAATGACCAACATTTTTTTCTCCTCCCGTCTAAATGCAAGTCTACAAAATACGATAATTGGTAAGAGAGTCGGATTTTATTGCGGAAAGCCGTAGTTCAAGTCCCGGTCAGATCAAAGCTCTGATCTTAAAATAAATGAGGTTCACAGCAAATGATTAGACCTTCACCGTGGCTCGGATGACCACGTTAATGGCGGTACCGTCCTTAATCGACCAGAGATGTTTAAAAAAGGACCACGACTTTTGCCGTAAGCAAGAACGAAGAAAGTGTAAGGAGAAGCACGAGCCGTAAGCGAGTGCTTACGGCGCTTCCTAAGTGCTTTATTACTGAACGGAGCACGGAAAAAGCTGTTTTATTCGTTTTATTATATACTCRCTAATATTATTACGGTATTGAATAAATTTACGCAAAAAGAAAAACGGTCGCAGGATCTAGCAGCACTTCGCACGCGCGGATGGCACAGTTTTTTGACCAATCGGCGCGCGCGTACTATCTTAACTATATAATAAAAACGAAGTTGGTATAGTATATACCATGAAGTATGATGAACTCACATTTTGAAAGATGGCTATTGATTCGTCGATAATCTTGAAGCAATCTTTTCTATGCTGTTCACCTTTATCTCTCTCTAAATCCGCTACAATGCCAAGATGATGAGCAATGAGTATTCCTATTAATGCTTTTTTGTGCTGAAACAAAAATATTGATATAAATGATCAATCGATCAATGTCGATCACTTTATACATTCATTCCTTCATTGATTCATTCATCATGCATCATCTCATTCATTCACTCACACACAGTAAGGGTAGATAGAAGATGGAAGAGAAGAGCTGCAGAGACAAAGGGGTTTGGCAAGATACTCCACTCACAGGCCCTTCTTAGTTGTACAATAGTTCATCTACATTCTACCAACCTCATTATCCTCGCCCTCTAGCTTTTCTCGATAAGCGAGCGACTTCCTCGCCAGTGCCACAGTTTCTTTATCTTCTTCTAGCTGATCCATTGTCACAAAATTGTGGTTCTTAACGATCTAATAATAATGGGGGAAAAAACATATTTTATTCTAGTGATTAAAGAGTTTGAAGACTCTGATCAACTAAAGAAATAGAAAACGCGCGCGCGTGCTGTGTGCTGTCATAAAGCACGCGGGGGTCGGCAGAACACGAGAGAAGTGTTAGGAGAAGCACGATGCGTAGCGGAGTGCTTCTGAACAGTTCTCGAGTGTTCTACCAATCCACAAGTGCTTTATAACTGCACACAGCACAGCAAGCAAGTTTTTTATTTCTTTTATTAAATACAAATTACTATAACCGTTTTTTTGATTAGGAATAACGCAACTGAAAGTGCGCGCGCGTGCTGTGTGCTATCACAAAGCATGCGCTCCCAACCAATCAGAACGCAAGATTTATTATACTTGTTTAATAATAACGAAATCTTCATTACATAACGCGTTCTACTCAATCACGTCAGTTATATGGTCATGTTATAAAAGGAGATATTATAATGTCGGTGTACATTTGGTCATTGAAAAGTTTCAAAATACATAGCAATACATACATATATTAATAGATCATTAGGTAAATATTACTGTACCTCGCTTTTCGTTTTTGTCATTAGATGATAGATGTCAGCCATTTTGTCTGTTCTCGCTCCTAGGTTTTTTTCCTCGATTTCAAGGAGTTCTTGAAGAAGCTTGAATGATTCCTCGTACTGACCTGCTTGAATGCTGTATTAAGAAATGTATTATATTAAAAACGATATTATCTTCAATATCATTATTTTAAAGGGGCACTTGAATGAAAACGCCCCAATTTTTGAAAATCCGAATAATTGAAGTATTTGATGATTATACAATTTTTGCCTGGGATCCACTTGCTGTTGAGATATTTTGGGTTAAAAGTGAAAAGAATAATAGGGTTGAGTAAATGACGTCATTTACTCACAATTTAGATGCTGAATAAAATTGATAATTTTTTCCCGCCACTTTTGACTGTGAAGGAAACATGTTGCTTGGCTATTATCTGGGCCATATAGATAAGTTTAAACAAGTTTCAAGTCATTTAATTTTCATTGATTTTCATCCAAGTGCCCCTTAATGACGATGGTTATGATCATGATACGGTGGTGATGGTGATGATGATGATGATGGTGATGATGATGATGAAAACTTATAACTTGTCAATTAATATCACGATAAGAACTATTTACAAACACTCTATCCACGTACTTGTGCATCCAAAAAATTAAAACAAAAACAAAAACAAAAAACATATAAAAACAAATAAATACAACTCACAGGAAGTTGATAACCATTTCCATCTTCTTGGAATATTCTTCCAGAGGTACTTCAGCAGTCTTGAGAACATCCAATGATTCTTTGTAGAGCAGAGAAGCTGCAGCGTAACCTCCAGCCTTCTGCCATGAACTCAGTAAATCAATACTGAAGTCTTCGGAGTATAATCGCTG